TCTTTGCGCCATCGATGCGTGTGCGTAGGATGTGTGCCATGTGTGTGTGTGTGTTTTTTTCCGCTGCGCTGTGCCCATTCACGTGTCGCAGGTGCAAAGCGAACTCATACCAGGAAATAATCAAATATATTAAAAATGCAGTTTCTTTCTTTTTTTTTTGGGGGGGGGGCGGGTTGTGCGTTTTTTTTTATTTTCTTTTCAAGTTTTTCGTTCTTCTTCTTCTTCGTTCTTCCTCCTTCTCTTTTTCCCGCACCAGTTAATTTGCAAGAACAAAAGCACAGCGATTGGAAGTGGGCAAGTAGGAGAGGCAGGCGGAAGAATAAGAATGTTAAACATAAATGCAAAGGCCTTTGTTCCAAAATCCGCAGTAGAGCACGTGCTGACTCCTGGAAGTGCAATTTACCGATACTACTTAGTGCTGCCTACACATAGCGTGTGTGATGTTTCGCAAGCGGATGCAACATCTAATAATATACACACACTTCTGGCAAAACGATGGCTATGCAGCTCTTTTCAAGGTGGGGTGGGTGAGGAACCACTTCAGTTGTTTCTCTCTTCCTTTTTTGACGGTGTTGAAAACGTTTCCTTTTCTTCAAAGAGGCTGAACGCCTCATCAGCTATTCTTCTTTCACGTTCAATTCTGTCGCTCACGAGCGCCACTGCTTCAATCAAAGCAATTAATGAGGCATCCGGGTTCTTAATTCGTGTAGATATACCGAAGGAATACCGTGCAGAAATTACTCTTCGACTTAGAGCCGCATGGGATGATTTTTTCGAGTGGGTTCGCGAAGATTTTCGAATAACCTCTTTGGGTTATGTAGGTTCTTCATATGGAGCTGTATCTGGTAGGCGATACGGGGGAACGTTTTGCCATTATTTTTTCCTTACCTGTGCCCCTTGTAACGCCTCCTCTCAACAATTAATGATGGATTATCTACAGGGTTTACCATTTCCTTTCCTTCGCATTGTGCAAGTGAATGCCATTGTGCCATTTATGTGTAATCCAAGAATACCAGTGGGTATAGTGGTTTCCGTGGGCGAGAAGGCCAAAAAAGAATTGCTGTCAGATGGAAAATGTGATAAGACGTTTTCCATCATCTTCAGTCCTTTTGATGTCTCTGCAACATCAAATTCATTGACTGAATTTGAGGAACTATTTTTGTTGCTTTTAAAAGACAGTAACCTTTTATGGGATCGGACTTATATTGTTCATATTCATATTCAAATTCAAAATTCACCAGATCAGGAAATTCGACGCATTCCTGTTTGGGATTTGGTTCAATTTATTGGTCACTTGAGTGCGGATACAGCAACCAGTGTTCTGGGTGTTTCATTCAGTGAGGATACTATCGAAGAAAGTATACAATTGACCTCACCCAAGAAAGAAGGCAATGTATGCTATTTGAATGCCACGCTTAAAAAAATACTGGATGAAGGACGCTCTTTAGACATTTCAAATACTTGTTACGGTCAAACGCCAGCTTACATCAAGAGACCAATAACATCTATTCAATTTGAATACGTCCGTAAAGAGTTTGAGAAATGGATAAATGCAGACTATGAATCGATTCTTCTCACACGCATGGTATTTGCGGATGCAGCAGATAATTTTGCCAAAGTAAAATATTACCTGAGAAATCGGACTGTTGGTGAAAAAATTCTGCTCATGACAGATTCTCAAGGAGATATCTTTGCTGCGGAGCTGAGAACGGGAAGCATTTTTGCTTTACCTAACTGCTTCGGCGACATTTCTTCTCCGATAAAGAACATGGTTTTTGAGGCCGTGGTAACCTCATCATTTCGTGGATATCTAGAATGTGTCATTGTGGTGGAAGATATTCTTTGTTTTGAGGGAGAAGATATAAGAAAAATGAGTTTCCATGAAAGATGGCAGTATGTAGAAAAGATGTTCTTGGATGATCAACGTAGTCGACCGCATGCAAATACAGATCAGGTTGTCATCCTTCGCGCCTCTTACGCACCTCTTGATCAAGCCGAACAAGTGCTGAAGAATCCACCTTTAGAACACCCCACGTTGGGACTGGTTTTTGTTCCTCAACTTACTCAAAGTGACAAGGAAACAGCCTCGTCATATATTTGGATCCCTCCAGAATCGATAACAGCCAGATTTGTTGCTGGTAAAATAGAGGATGTGCCAGATACAAATGGTGAAATAAAACGTGCATGGTTACAGGCGAGGGCCAAAGATAGGGAGTTTGTTTCCTACAATGAGGAATACGCAGATTATTCATTTGATGCTCATCGTTTTCTTGAGAGAGGTTTTGTGATTGAATGTTTACTTCGAAGAAGTAATGATGGAGCACATTGGTGGGAAATAATAAAGGATTATGATACAACTCAAGGAAAACGAGCTGATTCTCATGATTTTGTGGAAAAATTGGTCCATGTTCCGGGATTAACATATGAAGAAATGATATGGCTACTCAAAGCCCATTCTTTTAAGTGTGGACGTTGTCAGAATGTTAGTGATGTCGGAAAGACAAACCCTAGGTATCAAGCATACTGGTGTAAAAAAATGTTGGGAAGAAACGGGTCATGGGGAATGCTTGTATTGTGGACGTCCCTGTAGCATGGGAAAGATTGATGTTTTTAGTAAACGTTTCTATTGCGACAACTGTTGGGCCGTTTTTTATTCTACAAACTCCAATGCAGAAATTGGTTACATGGTTCCGCCTCCACCAAATACTTCCTTCTCAACTCAGGTCTTAACACGGTGTATTTCATTATTGATTGACACTATTAATCCCAAAGCTCCTACAAATGATGTGCTTGAGCTTTGTTGTGGGGGTGCTGTTGCACGCAAATGGATAAAAAACAAATCGACTCGCTACGTTGGTCTTGATTTGAAATCCAGTGTAGTAGAGGCTACGACTGAACTTATTTCTTCACTTCAAGATGAAATGTCGGGTATCTCAAGCTATGACGTTATCTGTGCCGATGCTTTTTCTCCAGATTTGTGGACGCATCATATCACAAAAATTCATCCTCGACAATTTCATACGATTACAGTGTTTTCCGGATTTCAACATGCCTTTGACAACGAGAAAAAAATACGCCACGTAATAGGCAGTATAGCCAATACACTGGTTCCTCGAGGGGTTTTTCTTGGATGCTTTTTTGATATCAGTACGCTATACGAAAAAGGTGACACCATCAATGATTTGTTTACGGTTGAATGGGATGATGATTTTCGGCCACGAAATGGTAACTATTTTTTTCTTTCCATTCAAGATGAACCAAGAAAAAAAATGAATGTGATATCAATTGACTTTCTGGTGGCGGTTGCGCAAGAATATGGGCTTAGTGCAATTCCTGAGGCGTGCTTGACCTTTTTAGAGATTCTGGAGAATGATCCAAATTTTGCCAAGAAGTTTTCCAAGGGCGAAAAGGAGTATCTCTGGGCTATGAGAGCCTTTGCATTTCGTAAGGACGGCAGCCCACAAACAACAGTTTCGCAAAGAGCTAATGGTAGCAATGGTGAAGGGAGGTAACCTGCTCTACGGTTCTATCGCTTTTTGATATATATATATACATACATTTTTAGGTGCGTTATGGGTGCCTTTTTATTTGTATCTTTTTTTTATTTTTATTTGTTTCAAAAGAAACAAGCAAGCACAAGCTAGGGTGGATTTTTACTATCATCTCCTCCCCATAAAGAGCGGCGAAAGCAAAGACAAAAAAAAAGAACAATAATAATAATAATAATATATATATATATATTTGAAATTTTATCTACAACCAGAGCTTCTTGTTTCTCCCACGCTTTATATATATATATATATATATATATACCTTTAATGGCCTTTTGCTTCAGTTATTTGTTATGCGTGCCAATCTTATTGCCACTCTTGCGAACACTATTTTTTCATTTTGTTGACATTATTGCTAATTTTTTTTAAAGCGAGAATACATACAAATATATGCCGCCACGATCCAAATCAAAGAAGTCTCGCAAAGCCCTTGAGCGGAAGGAAAAAAAATTGCTAGAAGCCAAAATAAAGGCCTCTCAATGTAAAGTTGAAGAAGGTCAGGCTTTACTCGAACCAGTTGGTCGCAATGCAGTACCACACTATGCAAAAGCTGTGGCTGCTCTTGAGGCAGCGATAGAAATTTATGAAGGGAACGCAAGTGCCTACTTTCTTATGGGGGAATGTTATCGTGGACAAGAGGAATTTGACAAGGCAATTGAGTACTACACGCAGTGCTTAGGGAGAGACCCCACAAATGCTAGAGCCATTGAGGGACGGGCAGGCTGCTATGCTGCTCTGCAAAAATGGTCAATAGCTTTTGAAAATTATACAGCTGTCATTCATCTTGAGCCGGAAAACGATCACATATATAATCTTAGAGGTCTTTGTACTTTAAATACACGCGTGCCTGGATTGCGTTTACTTTCTGCAGATTTTAGTCAATGTGTCAGTGATTTTCAAACGGCTATTCGCCTTAATGAAGCGAATTATTATGCCTGGGCAAACCTAGGAAGGGCGTATGAAGATCAAGGAATGTTGGACGAGGCGCTGAAGGCCTATTCATCTGCCGTGAAGATAAAGGAGGATTATGAGCAGGCGTATTTGCGTCGGGGTTCTCTTGCGCTGCGCATGGTGGAAAGTAGCTGGGAGAAGGGTGATGGTACAGCATACAATAAGACAGAAAACACACAAGAAAATATGGGGGCCAATTCTGGGAAAAAATCAATACCAAAATCTGTAAAGGAAGTCGAGGAAGAGGTGAATTTGGAATTAGAGGCGGCAGCTCGTCGGAAGCACGAAGAAGAACTTCTTCAGAGTGCTATTCAGGACTTTCAGTTCCTTATGTCGGACAACTCGAAGAAACTCAAATGGGATCCATGCTTGCCCTTGAATTTAGGGATCTGCTTTCTCCTACAAAATGACATCAACAAGGCAGAGGAGGAGTTTAAAACGGTGACAGAGATAATCCACGCTCGACAGCAGCTGGTTGCAGATGGGGAAGCCGAACCGATTTCAAATGTGGAAGCTATAGAGAGAGTGTTAAATCTCAAGAAAGATATATTGAAGGCAGCTAGGGGTAGACGTTTTTTGCAAGGGAAGCAGCAGCAGCAGCAGCAAGAAGAACAACCACAGAACCCCTAAACAACTGAGACAAAAGAAATGTAATATAGTGCGTGCATATGAGTCTCCATGTACATGAAGAATATTTAGTTGGGGCTTGCTGTGGGTATATCCTTTTTTTTCTAGCAACTCTGATGTTCATGCTAAAGTGTATATATATATATGTTCTTTTATTTTTATTATTATTCTTCAAATAGCAGTTATTGGGTGTTGCAAATCCCCAGCAGGGTTTTGTTGTAGTTGTTGGTGTATATTTGTATTAGGTTAGATACAACATGCTCTGTCGCTCAAGAGGAAGACTTAGTGGGTTTGACGTAAAAGCCTTGTATCCATACGGTGTTCCCAAACGTACCTTTCCATACCGTGAGCATCCCAAACAGATTTCCACAGCACCCACAGCTGGCGGATTTTACATTACAAAACATGCCCTTGGTTGGCCTTTTCAGATTCCATTTGAATGGCTTTTCTACAGGACATCCATCGCCGCCTTTATCGCTTGCGTGGTATACGACCTTTTCTTTGGAATTCCTCTTCCACTAATGAAGGAAATTCCACCAGGAGCGCCAAAGCATTTTTTTCTTAACAATGCAGGTGGGTCTCCGCATCACTTTTGGCAGTATCAAGATGGATGGAAGGTGCCAAATATGTCTGGCGCGCGTCGTTGGGTAGATTAGACAACCAGTACAGAAACTTAACGGAATGCATTAGGGGGAGGGGTGGGAGGTGGGGAACACACATACAGTAGACGGTTGACGAGAAAGCACCTGATATGCATGTGTTTACTGTTCCTAGGAAGAAACGGCGGGTTGGCGGCAAACGTCATAGGAAAGTCGCTTTCGGCATTAGTAGTATACGGGTAAACGGGTATGTGGGCAACCGGAGTGAGGGAATGTTGGTCTTCAGCAACTCATGCTGCGTTTTTTGTTAGTATAATCGACGAATCAAAATGTTTTCTGCAGTTTCCATGCTTTCTTCTTTATTGATTTTGTTTGCGGCATTCCTCTTTGATGAGGCTAGATGGTGTGGTGGAAGGGATTGCACGATGGTTAATAGTTGTGATCTGGGGAGGCTGCGTTATCCGTACCTCTGATTTCATCCTTCTAACGTGCGATAGCGTAAGCTTTGATAGCTATCCAACGAAATGGATGTGCGTGTGTGTGCCATGCCGTGCGTCTTGACGAGTGCAGAGACTGCCGCTGCTTGTAGGTTGTCCATTTTTTGTTGCTTGTTTAGTTGCTCTTCGATGTGGCTTTTGCCGCGTTTTGTAGTTACTGTTGCATGGCGAAAAGCACAGCGAGCGCGAAATGAAGGGGAACGATGGATGGCGAGAGGTAGCTTTTGAGGCGGCTGTAGGGCGTCTCTGCCAGCTAAGGCGTCAACTAGGGGCCAGACTGGGCTCAAGCTACAAGGCATCCCAGGAGGGCGCGCGTAGTTCCACACGGAAGCCAACCGGCACC